TCACGGACTAAAACTGGTAGTTGGTTCCACAGGAGAGGAGCCTGATAACTAAAACTTTTTATTGGATTCAAAGTAGTACCCAAAACTTCTTAGCTTTGTTTCATTTAACAAATAATACAAAAAAATAGTCAGATTTTTCTCCCTTTGATCCATTGATTAAACAGGGTATAGAGAACATTGGCTCCTTCATATCTCTTACTGATTGGTCTATTTTGCCATTTTTGTGTGTTTTTATACCTTTAGGCTCATATTAGGCGAAGGGATGAGGTGATGAGCAGTGATATTCAGGAGCTGGAGGCCTCACTCAGACACCAGGACCTGGTGAGGGACCAGGAGACCCCTGCAGAGGAGATAGCCCGTCTCAAAGAGTCCTCGCAGGATGATCATTTCAACCTGGATCGAGAGGTAACACCCAGCAACACACTGGATCGACATCCTGGGGCAAAGACCGCTTTGGAGTAATCTTTGTTTAATGCTCCATAGTTTTTATCACTACATTCACCACATTTATATGTCAGCACAGGAACCTCTTCACTTCTGTATATGATAAACCTAAATCATCAAAACTGTGGGGGGTTTATAGGGTTTTAATCTGTTTTTGATTCTTTCAATGTACCATTTTTGTTTCTTTATTGGTTTATATAGAATCTTTAATGTGCGCTTGTTTCCATTTCCCAGCTTTCTGTGCCTGATAAAGTGCTTATTCCTGAGCGTTACATTGAATCAGACCCTGAGGAACCTCTGAGTCCTGAACAGGAGGCTGACAAGCGACGGAAAGTGGACCGTATTAAAGCCCTAATAGCAAAAAACAGGTAAATATGCACAGATTAAAAAAAAAAGATAATATTTTGCAATATCCTGGACTTTCCTGTGCAGGCATTTAATAATAAAGCCATCCTGAACATAGAGCTGCAGCAGCTAAATATTATTACTCAGCAAATTATATCCATGAATTTAGAAATCTCAGACGAGTTATGGATTTTGTTTATAAAAGTATTTTCCCCTCTTTCAGATTTCATTGACTTTTAATTTCTTGTTACTTTTACTTGTTCAAACCATCAAACAAATTTTAGTTTTTCACAAAAATAATTTTAGTAATAAGCAGTTTTCATTAACAATTAAAATGTCATCCCCAACACTGATTAAAAAACATTGGTTAAGTCACAAAAATGTGACAGCGCACAACATTTTTACAGAGCAACATGTTTCGCCTTTATTAAAGTCGTAGGGAAGTCATATTGAAATGTCAAATCATTTTGGCTTAAAC